GAAATGTGTGAGTGATTCTCATCCAAAGTGGAACAAAGTCCTGTCCTCATCCCCCCTTAGTGTCCACAAATAGGCTCAACATTCTCAAAAGAAATATTATTTAACTAAAAAGAGTAGGGATTAAAGAGTATAGAAAATGAAATTACTAACATTAAGATAATAAAGTTCATATTATAGAGGAGTCTCACTCTATGACATCTAAACAGCTTTCCTGGCAATTAGACTCTGCCAATTTTACATAATTTTAAGTTAATATTTGTTCCTTTCTAAACGCATAATATTTTACAAACTCTAATAAAAATATGCCCATTTCCTTCATTGCACTTATTCCTGAGTTACAAATAAGTTACTCAGTTACTATATTTAGTTCTCTGATTGTTTTCTCTACAGGCTCATAACAATACAGTATAGTGAGACCAATCATTTTCAATCTAATTTTTTGTACAGACCCTCCATATGGCACAGATATTTATCCCACATCTGGAGTTAATCTAATGACTAGAAGTGTAATGTAGTCAAGGTAGTCAACTTCCCAACAAGTTATACCTCAAGCTTTGAAGTCCAACTCACAGGTTAAAATCCTAATTACACCACTTATTGTCTACTGAGAAATTTACTTAACTTATGTGTCTTCACTTATTCGCATGGTACAAACTGAGTCAGTTATTTTAAAGAAATGTTTGGTTGTATGTAGGCATGTTCTAGAAAGCTTTTACCATGAAAAGAGCCACCACTTTTCACTGTCAGCATGGAGTGAAGTTGCCAAATTGTGCGGGAAAAGGCAGAACATTATATAGGCTGGAATTCGCACAATTGTCTTCAGCTACAGCCTTCTTATTAATCTGACAATGTGCAGTAAATTAGTGAGTACCTTGCTGTTCCAAATCTCCAAATGTCAAATGGTGATGTTAGGTCTGTCATTTGTGAATAAGGCCACTCACTCCATGAGTTCTGTTCTCTTTGGGATGAGGCATTAATTTGCACATTCTATTTACTCAAGTGTGGAATTAATAGGTGTTTCAGTATGTAATTTTGATTCAATGGGTAAATACAGATTTCAGACATTCTTAGATTTATAGAGGGAGTTACCTGGTTTATTACTACAGAATGACAAAGGCTAGAGCTACTGTTCACCTTGGAATTATTTACATACAGCCTACTAAAAACTAAGTATTGACTTTGTAAGCACTTGGAATAATGATAATTATGTAGTACACCTGCTAGTATTCTTGGGAAATAGAACTAGTTATTCAATTGCATATAGTGACTGTATACGTTGCTACTTAAATGGCTAAATAATTCTTTGGTCTCTCTTGATCTTGCAGTACGTAAATGATTGCCTCTGCAGTGGCACCTCCTAACCACCAGAGGGTGGAATATCAACGTTTGGTGTGAGGAAGCAATTAAACTCTAGGTACTAGAGTCAATAAGGACTCTAGGTACTCAGAATGCTAGAATTCTAAGCCAAAATTTACAGTCACAAACTGTAACTTAGAACAATTCCATTAACCTTTCTATGCCTTGGTTTCTTCATTTTTAAAATGAAAATTATAACAGTACGTAATAACTTCGTATAGCATACATTATACGAAGTTATACGACTTCACTTTGCATTTAATTGGTATGATTGCATTTAGTTGTCAGAATCATCCAATGAATTAGGCATCATTTTCTTCAGTTTACGCTGAAAACTGAGTCTTAGAATTGTCAATTTGTCCTGGGGGTACACAGCTAGTAATTGACAGAATTTGGAATTGAGCAAAGATTAGTCATGATCTAAGACTTGTGCTTGTCCTCTTACAGTAAATTTCCCACCAAGATCTCTTCACATAATCATACCATTTCCTATTGCAGTGTTTTAAGTCCTTTATGCTTGAGTCCATACAATTTTTTTTTTTTTTCCTATAAAGAGCTCAAATGTGCTTCATGTTGGGTTAGATTACTTGCTGGCCTCTTCTTCAGTTAACTTCTCCTATGGGGAGTGGTCAAGCTCAGCTGAAAAGAATGAGTTAAGGTCTGGAATGATGAACAGAGCAGACTGAAAAATGAAGCTTGTTTGACACAGTTGTCTCTCTCTCTGCTGTCATTCCCCTGCCCACAAAGCACACATATCACACCTAACCACTTATCACCAAAGTCCTGTCTTTCCAACGAGTTACATGCAGTAAAGAAACATACACTTGGAAGGCACATGAAGTGTGTTTTCCCTCTTGTCTTCAGAAATGATGGCCCAAGTGAGTCGGGCTCTTCCTAGAGAATTCAATTTGAGTTGCATTAGTAACAATCCTCACAGTGAACACATTTTATCTATGTTGGCATAACTGGCTGTAACTGGGATACTGAGAAGCCTCCATGCAAATAAAGTCTCTTTTTATTATTGCCAATGCTTTGTTGCTACCATCACTGCTATGGCCAGAAGCTTTATATCAATGTCTCTTGCTGCAGAGATGCTCTGATGTTGTGGCTGCCGCATGCTCTGTTGCTATTGATGGGGTCAAATAGTATTCAACCTCTCTCAGACCTTCCTCAGCTCTCACTCAATTCCACTCTTCTACAGGACACCTGCATAAATGGTGGTTTATAGATTTTAGGTTTAAATCTTACTCCTTGGGATCACCTGTGTCTAGCCTACTTACTGTATGAGGGTTATCCAGATAAACAAAACCAATAATTTATATAAAAAATAAATCCCTCTCTCTCTCTTTACACACAAACAGACACAGACACATACATATGTATATAAAGAGAGTGCTATAAGGAATCAGCCCACATAATTATGAAGGCTGAGAAGTCCTATGATCTGCCACCTGCTAGCTGCGGACTCAGGAGAGCCAGTGATATAATTTCAGTTCAAGTATGAAGGCCTGAGAACCGAGGGAGCTGGTGATGTAAATCCCAGTTGAAGGACAGGAGAAGGATGTCCCAGCAGAAGTAGGCAGTCAGGAAGCAAAGAAGGGCAGATTTCTCCTTCCTCCATCTTTTGTTTTATTCAAGACCTCAGTGAATCGAATGATGCCCACCCACATTGGAGAGGGCAATCTATTGATTCAAAATCCACAGATTTTGTAGTCCATCGATTCAAATGCTGATCTCACCCAGAAAATCCTCACAGATTCATCTGGAAATGATGTTTAACCTGGGTGTCTCTTGGCACTCAAGTTGACACATAGAATTACCAACCCTTGTCCCTCCCTTTTCCCAGAACTAACTAGTAAATTATAAATAACATTAGCTTTGTCATAGATTCAGAGTTACTTACCATCCAACTTCAACTAGGTAGGACACGTGTTTCTAATCATTTCCCTTAATAGAAGGTGCTGCCTACATCTTCCAAAATACAAGACAGCTAATCCCTTTTCTGTGGGATGCCTAGAATTTCTAATCAGTAATAGATATTCCCAGAACTAACTAGTAAATTATAAATAACATTAGCTTTGTCATAGATTCAGAGTTACTTGCCATCCAACTTCAACTAGGTAGGACACGTGTTTCTAATCATTTCCCTTAAAAGAAGGTGCTGCCTACATCTTCCAAAATACAAGACAGCTAATCCCTTTTCTGTGGGATGCCTAGAATTTCTAATCAGTAATAGATTTTTGGGTTTATTTAAGTTCTCCATCACCTCCTCCATACTGAGTCTCTGAGCTAGCTGCATTGCTAAACTTTACTGAGCATCTGCTATGTACAAGGTAGTATTCTCACCATTTTCAGTTTCCAATTTAAGCTTCACAATGGCTCTATCACTGTCATCTCTATTTTGGACTTGAGGAAACTGAGGTGAAGAGTGGTTAAATAACTTGCACTTAGTCACATAGTTGAGACTAAAACAGCCTTCACCCAGCACAGCTAAGATTCCAGTCCAAAGAAATCTGTCTTCAGAGGCCATGCTCTTAACCATTCCTCATGTTGCCTCCCAAAATGAGAGATTCACCTAAGAGTACACCCGAAGCTTATACCTAGTTACCCAAACTAAATTAAAGAACTTCACACATTCTTACTCTATGGTTTTATGACCTTCATACTGACTATGTTTTCCATCTTCTGTTGATGAACACAAATGTGTTATTTTATTCTGGTTCATTCTAGAAAAACTATGGTGAGGGGACATGTTCTCTCTTTAGGTTGCAAATACTTCTACCATTTTCATCAGATGAAAACAAAAAAAACCCAATAACACAAACCCCACAAAAGTGTTGAATAAAAACAACAGTGTGACAAATTTATATTCCAAATAAAATAAATCTATTTAAAACAAAGAACATTTTCCCAACTCAATAATCACTTAAGAAATAGCAAAATTAGGATGAAGAATATCAGAAATGGAGTGAAGAGGGTAAACTTCAGCTCATCCTATTCAAAGGTCTCTGGTTACCATATAGTTGTAAAGTCCATGGACGTAAAATTCAAAATTCTCTTGCACTTTTCAAGGAACAGATTCAATCTCATAATTAACTTAAGATTGTTCTGACTCAGAGGATAAATTAGTGCATGGCCCATGAGCAGGTGCAGATGTTAGTTGTGGTTTTGATATTATTAACTTCATAGGAAACCCCTGATAGAGTTGAACCTATCAGAATTTATAAGACTAGGTAGGCTTCTAGTTCTATTTTAACTCCAATATTTTATGGACCTCTGATATTTGTAGCACATTAGTTAATAAGTCATATCCAATGGTAAGTATTTCCACAGGTTATAACTAGTAGCCAAAGTGTAATGTTAACTTACTAATTACTAATGGTATTCCCAGGTTGCTTCTCTTATTTCTGTAAAACAAATAATGTCCTAGTGATCTAAAGTTGCTTTCCAGTCTTAACTTACCATCACAAATGCCCAAAAGAGAAGACAAAAATTCTTGTTTTTGGAGACAGTAGTAGAAGAATACATGTTTACTTATTCACAAACACATGCACAATATTTTGTATTTAGAGAAATAAAAATTTCTAAATATATCAGAAATAAATTCATTCACATTAGAATATGTCATCTTTTCTACAGATTCCTTACTTACTAGGCAATTGCAAACCACCAGTAACACAGCAAGTCGGTTCATAAATGCTAGAAGATTCCAGGAGTTGTGGCTCAGGTACAACATTGACCAAAAGTCTACAGGAGTTGTATTCAGGGCTCTGAGACTGGCATTGGCTAGATTCACATCCCAGGGTTTGGCAACTCTTAGATACAGGAGTCTTGGGTGGAGAACACTTTGCCATGTAGCTCGCAGGTTGGTGGCTCCGGACAAGAGAACCCACTTGCTGACTGCGTCCTGACTGGCAAGGCTGAGAAACATGCTTCAACATTGCTGAGGATCTTTCTGATTGGCATGTTGTTCTTTCACAGGACCTGGAATTGGAATAAGTTGTTTGGACAATTTTGGGGAGGCGGGTTCTTTGTACACAGGTATCCTTTGTGACCAAGTCTTGTTCACAGTCAGTCAGTTGGCAGCTGGTAGTTTCACTGCAGATATCTTGAAAGTTGTCCAGAAGCCAGGTTCTGCTATGGCAGCTGCTGGGCAAACAAAATCCATCTTCAAAGTTTATAGAATTAGAGTCATGTATGATGGCAGAGAGTGGTGGGGCATCGTAGAAGCTCTTGAGTGAGTGGCAGTGGCTATGGAACATATTGCTAAAACTCTTAAATGAAGTTGGTTGTAAGGACCCAACATGTCACGTTTGAAGATCATATTCTTTGCTGGGGAGATTTTATATTCAGAAAACTGGGTGTTGGCTTCTTCTCAAGACTCCTTTGAATCCCATTGCTTGAGCTAACATCTCATTAGCACTTTGTTTAGTTCTATGTGAAGATGACATCTTGTTAACAAAGATGCAAGTCCATTTTGAATCTTCAAAATGGCTTTCATGTTAGCTCCAAAGATGACTCATTCAGGGTAGGGTTGGTCAAATACGAGTCCCAACATGACACCCAAGCTAACATTTTTTTTTTTTTTTACTTAGTCACCATGATTCTCCATATTTGTAAGTGGACAAAGAGGAGTGTATGTGAAAACAGCCAATTAAATACTGATTAACATTCAGCACTGAAGTTTTGAAAGATGCCATCTTTGGCAGAACATGGTAATGAGATGTTGAAGACATTTTTAGTCAGAAGTGAGTCCACTGAGCACATCATCATTCAGTTCAGATCTTTGTCTCTCCAGTTGATTAGGATGTGGGAGGACTCTGCAATGACATCCCTGCTTACTGTACACCCAAAGTACTGAATACTGAGCACATCATCATTCAGTTCAGATCTTTGTCTCTCCAGTTGATTAGGATGTGGGAGGACATCCTGCAATGACATCCCTGCTTACTGTACACCCAAAGTACTGAATATGACCATTGCTCTATCAACACACCTCTCTTTGTCTAATATTTTGTTCTCCTTGTCTCTTTGAAGGCCAATTTATGCTTCCTCTTTATGAATCCTTCCCCCATTTCCTACTTAAAAGTTATTACTTATTCCTCTGAATTACCAGTGGATTTTAACTCTTTATTTATTATGACTCTACTCTACACCAAATAGTTTACTTGTGTTTGTGCTTCTCAAAGGTTGATAATTTCCCATTGTAACAAACCTGCTTCAAATACACTTTTCATTTATTTTTTTATTCTGCTGTGTTTTTTGACTGCAAATTGATGATCACCTCCTACATTTATTTCATTAGTATTCTGTACTCAGCATAGTTTCATACTCATAGCAGAGAACCTATCAGCACAATTTCTATAACACATTCTATAATTTACTTTGCTCAGTTTATGACCTTGAAACAGGAAAAAAGTATATTAGCACAGCATTCTAGTCTACCTTTCTCAAGTCAGAAAAAACTCAAGAACATTCAGGAACTCTAAATAACTTTAATATAAACTGTCCTTGATATGTGAAGAACTGGGGATATTATATACTTAAAAGGACATATCTGTCCTTTAAGCTTTCAGCTTTATAGGCTGCACACTCAACTTGTATATAATATTTGTAATGAATTAAAATTATTTATAATTTTGAGTGATCATTGTTGTGCATTTAAAGATTTCATTATGCCTTTCACATGAACCCTAGAACAACCTACTTAATTCTTATGCATATTTGTATTTATTATAACACAGAGTCTTTCACTGTAGCTTGTGACTTTCCTACTTAGAAGTATTGAATGGATTCTCATTACTTTTTGAATAAGATCCTTTCCTCTTAGGCTGGTCTACAACACCTTGAAAGACCTGGCTGCTGCCCATTTTTCTAACTCCATCTCTTGTCGTTTCTCTCTGCCCAACATGCCATACGCTCACAGGCCTTACTCAACTCTTTTAGCTTTTCCTTTCCTCAGTGTTTTGTACACGCAGCGTCCTGTCTGTTTCACCCTTTCACTGTCTTCTCCCATTCTATGTACAGCTCTTCTCATGTTTTGTGTCTCAGCTTAAAAGTTACCTCTTACAGTGGCTCCATCATGCTGCCTAAAAAAAAAAGAATTCCATTCTCAGGATCTAATTTTATTTCCTCCATAGAAATTATCTCAAACTATGATTTTATTTGTTTCTTCATTGTTCCTTTGCCACTACAGTGTGAGTTTGGTGAAGGCAAGAAGCATGTATAGATTTCTCACTACAGCACTCCCAGCATTGAGCATGGTGCCTGGTTATCACATAATAAGATCTCCATAAATGTATTTTAGAAAATTAATGAATAGAAGATACAAAATAAAATGTATACAAATTGTAACTAAATGTCTGAAAAAATATAGTTTTAGCATCTTGACATAGCCAAGATTTCCAAGAATTGGCAAGGTAATTGAGCTTAAAGAAAAGAAGAAAAAAAATTGTCCCTACCTTTCAGCTACCCCTCCGTGAAATAAGAAAAAAGTCATTAAGAAAGCCACTTATTCGCATGGTACAAACTGAGTCAGTTATTTTAAAGAAATGTTTGGTTGTATGTAGGCATGTTCTAGAAAGCTTTTACCATGAAAAGAGCCACCACTTTTCACTGTCAGCATGGAGTGAAGTTGCCAAATTGTGCGGGAAAAGGCAGAACATTATATAGGCTGGAATTCGCACAATTGTCTTCAGCTACAGCCTTCTTATTAATCTGACAATGTGCAGTAAATTAGTAAGTACCTTGCTGTTCCAAATCTCCAAATGTCAAATGGTGATGTTAGGTCTGTCATTTGTGAATAAGGCCACTCACTCCATGAGTTCTGTTCTCTTTGGGATGAGGCATTAATTTGCACATTCTATTTACTCAAGTGTGGAATTAATAGGTGTTTCAGTATGTAATTTTGATTCAATGGGTAAATACAGATTTCAGACATTCTTAGATTTATAGAGGGAGTTACCTGGTTTATTACTACAGAATGACAAAGGCTAGAGCTACTGTTCACCTTGGAATTATTTACATACAGCCTACTAAAAACTAAGTATTGACTTTGTAAGCACTTGGAATAATGATAATTATGTAGTACACCTGCTAGTATTCTTGGGAAATAGAACTAGTTATTCAATTGCATATAGTGACTGTATACGTTGCTACTTAAATGGCTAAATAATTCTTTGGTCTCTCTTGATCTTGCAGTACGTAAATGATTGCCTCTGCAGTGGCACCTCCTAACCACCAGAGGGTGGAATATCAACGTTTGGTGTGAGGAAGCAATTAAACTCTAGGTACTAGAGTCAATAAGGACTCTAGGTACTCAGAATGCTAGAATTCTAAGCCAAAATTTACAGTCACAAACTGTAACTTAGAACAATTCCATTAACCTTTCTATGCCTTGGTTTCTTCATTTTTAAAATGAAAATTATAACAGTACCAACCACATAAAGTTGTTTCACCAATTAAATGAGGTACTGTGCATAGTGTCGGATCACAGGGCACCTGTTGAGATACAAATAAATATACGCAGCCATTATTTCTGATCATGTTAAAGATCTTCATGCAAACAAACACACTTCTCATAGTTACATCAGCGTAGGATTGATATAAAATTATAAGACAAAATAAACACACTGTCTTTTTGTGTTTGTGATTATGTCTGTAATTTTCCACATTCCATCCTTTTAAAGATTGGATTGCGCTTATCATTCCCATTAAAGACAAAAATCTAGCTTGTCTCCTTCTCTCAAGAGCTCAGCTCATTCGATGGTTGTAAGGTTGAATAGTTTGCATTGCTTTTATATTTGATTATGTGGATATGCTGGACTTCTAATCACTTGTTTAACCACATTTAAACAAAATAAAATAAAAAAATTTGAGTCCCCATTAAATACCATAATTTTTCCCAGTGCTTCCACAAGTTATGCTCTTTACCCTTGCCTCAGCTTTATCACATCATCCAAAGTTATGCCAAATGACCTAAGTTAATTTAAATACATCCCTTTTCTCCAATCAAGAAGTTACTCACACAGAAACATTGCATAGCAATGGAGAAATACTAGGCCAAAAGTGAAGAGACTTGGCTTCCAGCTCTGTTAATTCTATTAATTCACTGCATGAGTTTGAACAAGTCACTCTGCTTCTCTGGATATCTTATAAGATAATGAATTTAGATGAGGAGATTTTTAGCTGTCACATTGTGTGATTTTCTATCAGAATATTAATATCTGAGAGTTGAAAAGGACATTAAATGTCATCTTGTCAAATATTTCTACTGAATGAAATTCTAAGTTTCACTTAAAGCCATCTAATCTTAACTAAGATTACTTATGAAATTTTAACAGGAAAGATCAAAGACTAAAATCTGTCAATTATTAGTTGCTATGCATGCTGGTAGAAATCCACAACTGTATAACGAAATTATTTTGTAATGCTTGAGAGTAACTCCTGAGAATAAATGAAAAGTATGTTTCTTTGGCCAAAAATACATTGATCTACCCCAAAAGAGTTTGTTGAGGAGAATGACTAACATTAACTAGATATGACATTCTGTGAAATAAGTATCATGTAACCCTTCTCGGACACTGTAATGCATATAGAAAAAAATATTTTAGGCTCTGTAATACTTCAAGATTATGATACGATGACAATAATAGTGATCCCTACGTGGAATACAGAAATGGTCTCTTGCCAGCTTTTTCTGTTTCTAATGATAAGTAGATGCTTTTAGAATATGGTAATAAAAAGAATCATATGTGACATTATTTCTTCTCTGAGACTATCTCTAAATAAATATTGCTTCTTAGGATAATCCTTGGTCATTTACAGTTCAATCATACTAGACTTTGATTAAATAGCCAAAAAAAAAAAAAAAGAAGAAGAAGAAGAAGAAGAAAAGTTAGAGGATTACACATTGCCTATACAGCTCTTAATGATGAGTAATTGGAGAGAAGAATAAACATGATATCTTAACCATCCGAGTATTACAGTCTATGTTTTCCAACTCCTTGCTTTGTTATGTGAAAGTGTCATGGTTTATTATAATAGTTATACACTTGTTTTTGTTTCTTTCCCCAGATGTGCTTATTCTTGCCTGCCACTGAGGTTAGCTTTAAGTAAAGTTATTTTAATGCTTTCGAGTGATGCAGAAATGTGAATTTGTTTTTGAGTTCTCTCACCTCTATGGGCACTGCAGTTGTGATAATGTGCCACTGAGACTATGATAAACAAAACTTGATGATAATAATGACCAGAGGACTGATGACAACTAGCTTATCTGAAAAGAGTTTGACCAGCAAAAATGAAGGCATGTTTGATGTCATTGACATAATATATCCTGGTGAATGTCACCCTAGCTTCATTTTATCCATTTATGTATTCATTTAACTGTGATTGAATATTTACTATTTGCAAGATTCTTTTAGACAAGATTTTGTTTTGTCCACTGAGGGTACAACATGGGTAAACAAAAAATAAAACAAACAAACAAACAAAAAACCAGTAATGATTAAAAATAATAATGTTGCAAGATTCTTTTAGACAAGATTTTGTTTTGTCCACTGAGGGTACAACATGGGTAAACAAACAAATAAAACAAACAAACAAACAAAAAACCAGTAATGATTAAAAATAATAATGCTAAAGTCCTCCCTATCAGTGCAAATTACCACTCATGATACTGTCATGTGCCAAGTAGTTCTTGGGTGACTTCTACTATGAGCACAGATGGCCTTACAGTGACCAGATAGAAGGAGGACAGAGTTAAGTACCAACAAAAGAAATAACTCTCAGCAATTACATTCCTCTCATTATTTCTTATTATTTATTATTTAGATATACTCATACTAAAATGTTTGTTTCATTATACCAGCTACCACAATCAGTCAAAAACATAACCTCAGAATTCTATTATGGCTTGCATTAGTCTGATAAGGAGGCTCACGAAAAGTATTTTGACAATTTCCTCATCCAAAACAGCCAGGCTAGTACTTTCTGAAACATTACTGCTTCTTCTGGAAGTTTCTTAGACCAGAACAAAGTAGTTTAACCAAAGTAAAGTGTCCTGATTAGGCTGAAATGACCATGGATAGAAAAGACGAGGGTAATCAGTCCAATCTCTGATTCTACTTGGCAGAAATTCCCAGAAACTAACTCTATGTTGTCAGAAATGTCTACCTATCCGGAAAACTACACCTGCTCCTCAAATTAAATATTTTATTTTTAGTCAAAGAATAGTCGATTTGAAAAATTTCCAACACTCTAAAAAGGAAATAAACAGCAAGACGTGTGATCTGATAGCAGAAAATGAGTTTATTTGATGAAAAAAAATCACCTCTTGCTCCATTTTTAACTAGAGATGTAAAGGGAAAAACAAAAGAAAGAGAAATGGGTATTCTATAAGACAAATTATTTTAACATTAATAAGATTATGTTTTTAATTATTACTCTTCTAGGTAGTAGAATATAGACATTAGCCAGATGATAGCTGAGATTGACTTTGAGGGAAATAATTGTGAAGTTGAGGTCTAGAGACCTTAACATGTTGCCTGGTAGAAGCCAGATCCACAGGTTGGTCTGTAACAGGAAGACTGGCAGCTGCTAGAAGCCAAGTAGGTTGGGCGGCAGAATCCAGATCCATAGCTCACAGAGGGGAAGCCACAGACTCCATAACGCCGGGGTCTGAAGCCACTGGTTCCACAGCCCAGGGAGTAGCTGCTCCTTGATCCACAGCCCAGGGAGCGGCAGCTGCTCGATCCAAAGCCCAGAGACCCAGCATAGGTCGTCTGGCAAGGACTGCAGAAGGTGGAAATCCTCGGGCGGTAGCAGGACGTCTGGCAGGGGCTGGACACCACACAGGACGTCTGGCAGCTGGAGGGCTCACAGCAGGTCTCCTGACAGCCACTGTAGAGAGAGGATCCCAGCTGGCAGGTGCTGGGAGAGCAGAGGTTAGTGCGGTAGATCAGGTTGCTGGGGAAGGAAGAGCCACAGGAGGAGACTGGGTAGCGGAGGCAGCCCCCAAAGGAGCGGGCAGAGAAATTTCCAGAGCAGCAATTGTAGGACATATTGTCAGGAGATGCGAGTTCAGCTGAGTTACTGTGCGAGGATGCTCTGTCTGTCTGCTTCCAGTGATGTTTATATACCCTCACTCTGCTAGGTGTGATGCAATAATCGAGACTCTGCCCATTCCTGTGCATGTCTTTTCATTAAGTTACTAATTAATGTAGGCTATAATTATAGTTGAACACATTCATGTGTTCTTAACTGCAGTTTAATCATTCTGGTTTATAGTATCCACTTCATTTCCCCCTCTCTTTCTTTTATATTTTTGTCAGAAATAAGGTGTGGTTTGATTTCAAAACATTGGTCATGATGTATATAGTGCCCCCCTCTATTTCATTGAGTTTGAGTGTGAGTAGTTTGAGCATGAGTGTGTGAATTATTACCAGCAATGTACTCCTAACAGTCATCACTACCCACCCCCAGTTGCTTACCCATGTTTTATTGAACATTTACTATGTGCAAAACATTTAAACGTGTAGTGTAACTCAATATTTGCAACAATTTTATGAGATAATAAGTGTTATAAACAATTTAGGAATGAGGCCATGGAGACTTTGAGAAGTTATGTAACCTCCAGGTAATAAATTAAAAGTCACAGACCCACTCGTGTCTGTCTCCAAAGCTAGCAGGAACCACAATGCTCTACTGACAACTTGAGAAGCTTGTCTTTCTGCTTCCAGAATCACATAAACAATTGAGTACTCAGGTGAAACAATAACACTTCCAGTTGATAATATTTGCATTTTTTCTGATCTATCTACCTGAGTATCCTTGTCCCTTTTATGAAGTCCCCAAATATAGCCACTTATTAATCTTTTTTATTTATTAATTATTTTTGTTTATTTTTTAGTATTTGAAGTTACCATGGAGATGCTTGCTACAAGCTATTTTCTATTTGCCCTCTCATTTGGCTTATTATCATTAAGCAACTCATGTTTTATCTATCATGGAGTCACTGGATTCTTTTTCCACACTGGGCAAAGAATTATTTGACAAACACTTCTACCATCACTCAGAATAACTGCTAAAAACTGGTATAGCTTTAGTGAGTTGATTACCAATGAAATAAATTTGAAACAACTTGAATTTTAATAGTGTGCTAACCTTTGCCAACTCAGTTGGCAGTGAGAAATTTGACACTTTGAGAGCGATTCATTTCACTCCCTGCTGAGCTTCTAGAAAGCGTAAAACTTACCTTCATATTTAGTAGTTAAAATTATCCTTATCACTATAAAAAAATCAATGCTATAATGAAAAGTTTTGGAATTAGAAATGTCTTTTTTTTCACTTATTATCATGTCCAATTTCTGCTTTAAAACATCTTTTAGACACAGAAAGCCAAAAGCTATTGATGCAAGTTGATCTTTTCAACCTGTTTTGTTGATGATTGTTTTTTTCTGGCCTCCTGTAGTATTTGCTCATACACATCAAGGAAATATTCTGCCCATTATTTTACTTACCCATTTTTATTAAATGTATTGCTCACTTTTTTTTCCCCATTACTCTAAATCCTTTTCACCCCTCAAGGCTGAAATTAAACTACTCATATCTGACAGGCATTCATCTCAATTAGGCTTTACATCTTCAGGGATGAGAATCTCAGTAATTTATAAGCTAGTCCATTTGGGTGAGTTCACACACACGTACATGCACACTGTGTAGGAATTGCAAAGGATGTCTTTTGAAATGGGTCACACAGGTTGAGAAAGATTTCAGCTTGCAGGCCAGTCACATGTATGAAAAGACTGCAGTACACAGAAGTTCCATGGGGTCAGCAACTTGACTTAGTCTTTTCCGACCCAGCATCTGGTACATAGTAGGTGCTCAACAATTATTTATGAAATAAAAGAATATATCAAATCATGTGCATTTGGAAATAATTGCTTTTTTTCTTTTAAGTTACCTTTAATGAAATGTTGAGTGAATATAAATGTCTCTTTCATAAATAAATATAATCTCCAAATTAATCACAACCAGTAAGGCAGGCTCAATTAATCTAGGGAGCTACCTAGAAGATGTACCTGAGGATAGAAATCATGGCTTCAATGTGGGCACTTCCTGAACAATTCAATTAATCACAACCAGTAAGGCAGGCTCAATTAATCTAGGGAGCTACCTAGAAGATGTACCTAAGGATAGAAATTATGGCTTCAATGTGGGCACTTCCTGAACAATTCTTAGTCCCGGGTGTGAATGCACGCTTGTTGTCTTCCCGTTACACAAAGCAATGGGATCAGAAAAACTGTAACTAGAAAGATGTGGTCAGTTAGCTTAGCTAGAAGTCTGGGTATTACTTTCTGTTGTAGCTGTATCTTAATTATGGTTTCGTTTAATCATACTACAGATTCTAAACCCACATACACTAGCCAGACACTTCCCACAACTCAAAATCTCCATCAAAACCAGCCATATAATAATTTCTCTGAATCACGATAGCTCAGAGTGTTTTAGTTAGTTTTCCTCCATTCCTACAGGCACATTAGTGTTGTTACTTTACTTAGGAGATGTCCAACAGTCTACTATAGCCACTATTAATCTCAGTTATTTTATAATTTCTCAAAAAGTCAATATGTTTATAAAAAATAAAAATAATTAAAATTCTTAAAAATTAAAAAACCTTCATACATTTCTTTCAGAACTTTACATACTATTCTAAAAATAGATGTAACTACAATTTTTTAAAAATTGAAAATTGCCATATGTTTTATTTAAGTCAATACAACAGGTTTAGAATTTCCTAAATATGGGAGCTACTTCTTCCTTAAATAAATTAGAAAACATTCCTTTGAGAATGTGAACACATTTAAATATATTTATTATGGATGTGAATATATACATGTACACACAAACTTTGAGAAGGGTATAATATGCCTGTTATGCTTATAGATTTAAAAAATTAGGAAAGTTTGCTTCATTACCTGTTTGTGAGACTGTGTTGGTCTAAAGGTGCTTTCATGGATTTCATACTAACGCTTCATAACATGCTGGTGACATGGCTGGAAAAGCTGTTTCATCGAATAATAACCTGTTGTATGAGGAAACCATGTCACACAGCCAGAAAAATATGAGGTTGCCATTGGAATGCAGGTCTCTGTCTTGCTAGTCCAGTAATTTGTTCACCATGAACATTTAAGACGAATTTCATATTCTCTTTAGTCTGTATTTCCATAAACATGGCCTTTGATCATACATATTCCATTTGTATTTATTATACAAGTAGTTTTCCCTCATCTATCATTTTGATTTTTCTTTTATTGAAGCATAATTAATTACACATATTTGTGGGGTACAAAGTTGGCAATCGATAGTTGTGTACACTATGTGAAGATCAAATCAGGTAGTTAGCTTATTCATCATTATAATACATAATCATACTTTGTGTCTATTTTGTTTGAAAGGTTATATTTTCCTCACTTAGACTGTATAAATATGTTCATTTAAAAAATTTAGATCTCTCACGAATTTCGGTTCTTAAAGTGGTCCTTCATATCTGTCCCTCATTCACATCCCAAGCAAAATTGCCTTTGGGGCTTTCCTCGATTATCATTTCTTTCTCTTTCCTGTGGCTTCTTTCTCATCCATTCTAATGATTGTTTAATCCAAAAACTTTAAGTAGTGTTGTTTCCTCTTATTTTTTTATGCCGAATTCTCTAAAGAGTTGTGTGATCAGCTTGTCAACTGTCTCACTTCCTATTCTCTTTTCAATAATGCTTTTGTTTCTGTCATGTTGAATACTCTTCTGAAACTGTTCTGATATGATCAACAATGGCCTCAAGGCTGCCAAATACAATGGACATTTTTAGGATGATCTTATGTAAATGTTTAATCCCATTCAACATAAGTGATGGTGTTCTTACTCTTGAAACATGTTCATGTATGTAATTCCATGAAATCACAATCTTCATTTTTTACTCTTCGTTAACCTTAGTTGGGTTCTTGTTCATAAGATTCCTTAAGACTTCGTGCTGGTCTCTGGACATACTCTCTCTATAGAAGAGGCACGTCCTCTCCGTGGCTTAAAGTATCATCTATATTCTATGACATTCAAATACTCAAATTTGAATTTGCATTCCATAACTTTTTTGTTTTTTAAATTCTAGAGCTAAATATTCAACTACTTTTGTCATTTCCATTTAGAGGTTTCATAAACATATTAAATTTTTATGTGTATTTTTGCCCTTTCCTAGGTTAAAAAAAAAAAGTTCTTTTTTCCCTTTTGAATAAAGAGTATTTCCACCCACCTAGTCATTTAACTCAAAAATCTTAGAATGCTCCTAACATATGCAATTCACCTTGAATGTCACCCATTCTATCTTCCAAATTTATCTTAAATCTTACTGCCTTCCAGGATTTCTCACTGTTGGCACCATGGACATTTTGGAATATCCTTTGCATTGTAAGAGATTTGAAAGTATCCTTGGCCTTTACCCTATAAATACTAGTAGCATACCTTCCCTTTCAAATTACTACAATTAAGAATGTGTCCAAGAATTGCCTGGGGCTGAGGAGGAAGAAGAATCATGTCTCAAGGAGAACCATTACTCTAGTTCAAGGTAGTCTCTTTTCCTGGTAGGACTACTGAAAAGAGTTGCAAGATTGCCTGTGTCTTCTAAAAATATGTCTCCTTCAATCTTTTCTCTACACTCCTGCCTGATTGATTTTCTTAAAACAAAAAGCTGGTTGTGTCACTCTCCTGATTAAAACTTCTTGATTGATTTCTAGTACACTTAGGATAAAACACAAATCTTGTACATGATCTGCAAGGCTGCATGGTCTTGTCCCTGCACGTGTCTCTAACAATATCTCCATACACAATTCTTTCCCTCCCAAACACACTGGCCTTTGTTCCACAAGATTTTTCCTACGACAGAGACATGCTATTCTCTCTGTCATGAATGTTCTTTCTTTATTAAAACTAAAATAAGCCTTTCCTTACTTGCTAATCACCATATCTCAGGAAAAATTAGGTTCCTCTTTTATGGGGAAACTAATTCTTATCAGCCCTGTATTTAATTCTACCATTTTA